TAAGGATTTATTTATTTATTTGAAAGTCAGAGTTACACACAGAGAGAAGGAGAAGCAGAGAGAGAGAGAGAGAGAGAGAGAGGTCTTTCATCTGCTGGTTAACTCCATAGTTGGCCGCAATGGCTGGAGCTATGCTGATCCGAATCAAGGAGCCAGGAGCCTTATTCGAGTCTCCCATGCAGGTGCAGGGGTCCAAGGAGTTGGGCCATCTTCTATTGCTTTCCCAGGCCACAGCAGAGAGCTGGATTAGAAGTAGAGCAGCCAAGACTCGAACCAGCGCCCATATGGGATGCCGGCACTACAAGTGGCAGCTTTACCCACTACGCCACAGCACCGGCCCCCATGCTTTCTCGATTTCTGAAGCTTAATACTAAGTTTTGAAATTGGGTAATGTGTCTCCCAAATTTGTTGTTCTATTTGTGTTGAATATTCTATATCTTTGCTTTTTCATATGGACTTTAAGATCAGTTTTTTTAAAAAATATTTATTTTGTGTATTTGAAAGAGTTACAGAGAAAGGGAGAGGGAGAGAGGGAGAAAGAGAGAGAGAGAAAGAGAGAACGCTTCCATCTGCTGGTTTACTCCCCAAATGGCTGCAACAGCCAGGGCTGGGCCAGGCCAAAGCCAGGAGCTAGGAGCTTCTTCTGGATCTCCCAGGTGGGTGCAAGGGTGCCAAGGACTTAGACCATTCTCCACTGCTTTCCCAAGCACATCAGCAGGGAGCAGGATCCAAAGTGGAGCAGCTGGGACTTGAACCTGTGCCCATATGGGATGCTGGCATTGCAGGCAGCATCAACCTGTTAGGCCACAACATTGGCCCTGATCACGTTTTTGATACCTACAAAACAACTCACTGAGATTTTGGCTGGGTTTGCACTGAACCTCTAGATGATGTTGGGAAGAATTGACATGTTAAAAATAATGAATTTTTTCATCCATGCACTTGGAACATCTCTTGGTTATTTAAATCCTTGATTTTTTTTGTTGAAGTTTTATAGTTTTTCATATAAATCATGTACATATTTTGTTAGATTTATACCAAAATACTTCATTGAGAGAGCTATTATAAATAGTATTTTTTAAAAAAGATTTATTTATCTATTTGAAAGGCATAGGTACAGAGAGACAAGAGAGAGAGAGAGAGAAAGAGAGAGAGAGAGAGTTAGTTTATCTCTTCTTGTTTACTCCCCAAATGGCTACAATGGCTGGGGCTAGGCCATGCCAAAGTTAGGAGCCAGGAACTTCATCTAGGTCTTCCACGTATGTGTGGGGGCCCAAGAAATTGGGCCATCTTCCGCTGCTTCCCAGGAGTATTAGCAGGGAGCTGGATTGAAAGTGGAAGAGCCAAGACTTGAACTGGTGCCCATATGGGATGTTGGTACAGCAGGCGGAGGCTTAACCTTCTATGGCACAGCACTAGCCCCAATAGTATTGTTTTTAAATTTCATAGTCATTGTTGCTACATAGGAAAGCAACTGCCTTAATTTTTTTTTTTTTACTATTTATCAGAGGCAGACACAGAGAGAGAGAGAGCGAGAGAGCGAGAGAGCGAGAGAGAGCACACAGACAGGTCCCATCCTCCAGCTCATACCCTAAATACCCTCAATGGCCAGAGCTGGGCCAGGGCTGAAGCTGGGAGCCTGAAATACAATTAAGGTCTCCAACAAGAGTGGCAGAAATTCAACTATACAGGCCACTGCTACTGCTTCCCAGGGTCTGCACCGTTAAGAAGTTGGAGTCAGGATCTAGCCTTGGGAAATGAACCCAGGTAATCTGATACAGGATGCGTCTTAACCACTAGGCTAAATGCCTACCTTGCATTTGATTTTTGTGTATTAACTTTGTATCCTAAAACCTTGCTATCATTATGTATTAGTTCCAGGAGATTTTTAGTTGATTCTTTGGAAATTTCCACAAAGGATATCATGTCATCTCTGAACACAGACAGATTGTGCTATTTCTTCCTTCCAAATTTGTATGCCTTTATTTCCTTTTCTCATCTTACTGCATTACCTAGGACTTCCCATACAATGTTGGATAGAAGTAGTGAGAGGGACCATACCTTGTTCTTGATCTTAGTGGCAAAATCATCACTGTGTGATGTTAATTGTAGATTTTTTAAGTGATCTTTATCAAGTTAAGGAAGTTCATCTCTTTTGCTAGTTTGTTGAAAGTATTTTTTTTTTTTTTTTTGACAGGCAGAGTGGACAGTGAGAGAGAGAGACAGAGAGAAAGGTCTTCCTTTGCCGTTGGTTCACCCTCCAATGGCCGCCGTGGCCGGCGTACCGTGCTGATCCGATGGCAGGAGCCAGGTACTTCTCCTGGTCTCCCATGGGGTGCAGGGCCCAAGTACTTGGGCCATCCTCCACGGCACTCCACGAATAGTGTTCAATTTTGCCAAATGCTTTTTCTTTTTTTTTTAAGAAGATTTATTTTTATTTATTTGAAAGACAGAGTTACAGAGAGAGGTAGAGACAGAGTGGTCTTCAATCCCCTGGTTCACTCCCCAGATAGCCGCAATGGCTGGAGCTGCGCTGATCTGAAGCCAGGAGACAGGAGCTTCTTCCTGGTCTCCCACGTGGGTGCAGGGGCCCAAGGACTTGGGCCATCTTCTATTGCTTTCCCAGGCCACAGCAGAGAGCTGGATTGGAAGAGGAGCAGCCAGGACTAGAACCAGTGCCCATATGGGATGCAGCACTTCAGGCCAGGGTGTTAACCCGCTGCGCCATAGCGCCAGCCCCCAAATGCTTTTTCTATATAAATTGATATGGCCCATAATTTTTCTTCTTTAGCTTGTTGGTGTGATAGAATACATTAATTTCAAATGTTGAACCAGCTTTGCATACTTGTAATAAATTTCACTTGGTTGTAGTGTAAAAGTTGTTTTTCTTCATTGTTACATTTGAAAGGCAGAGTTAGGAGAGACAGAGAGAGAAAGAGCTCCCATCCATGGGTTCACTCCCCACATGGCTGCAATGGCCACAGCTGGGCCAGGCTGAAATCAGGTGCCAGGAGCTTCATCAGGATCTCCCACGTGTGTGTAGGAGCCCAAGTAGTTGGGCTATCTTCTGCTGCTTTCTCAGGTACATTAGCAGGGAGCTGGATCAGAAGTAGTGCTTGTGGGGCTTGAACCAGTGTCCATAGAGGATGCCAGCATTGCAGGTGATGGCTTAACCAGCTGCATCACAACACCATCCTTTCTATTGAGGATTTTTGCATCTATGTTCGTGAGATACAGTAATCTGTAGTTTTTCTTTCCTGTAATGTCTTTATCTGTTTTTGGTTTTAGGGTAGTGCTAGCCTTATAGAGTGAGTTAGAAAGTGCTCCCTTTGCTTCTGTTTTCTGGAAGAGATTGTGAAGAATTGGTATCATTCACTTCTTTTTTTTTTTTTTTTAAGATTTATTTTATTTATTTGAAAGAGATACAAAGAGAGGTAGAGACAGAGAGGTCTTCTTACTCCCTAGATGCCCTCAACAATTGGAGCTGCACCCATCCGAAGCCAGGAGACAGGAGCTTCCTCTGTGTCCCCCATGTGGGTGCAGGGGCCCGAGGACTTGGGCCATCCTCTACTGCTTTCCCAGGCCATAGTGGAGAGCTGGATTGGAAGAGGAGCAGCCGGGACTAGAACCGGCGCCCATATGGGATGCCGGTGCTTCAGACCAGGGCTTTAACCTGCTGTGCCACAGTGCTAGCCCCGGTATCATTCATTTCTTAAACATTTGGTCCAAAATCACCACTGAAGCCATCTGGCCTTGGTATTTTCCTTTTTGGAAGGTTACTACTTATTGATTGAGTTTGTCTAATATAGGCCTACTTAGATTTTCCGTCTCTCTTTATGTGAGTTTTGGTAGTTGTGTCTTTCAAGGAATTAGTCTTTTCTGTTTAAATTATCAAATTTGTGGACATAGAGTTGTTGAGAATTACTATCCTTTCAATGTCATGGGATTAGTAATGACCACTCTTTCATGGATGCAGTTACTAATTGATGTGTTTTCTCATCTTTTTTGGTTGATTGGGCTAGATTTTATCAGTAAAATGGGTTTCATCGATTTTTCCTATATTGTTTTCTGCTTTTGCTGTCCTACCTAACTCTGGTTAAGTAGCTGGGATTTCCTGTCGTCCATTCTGTTTTTTACATTCTTTGATCTCTAGTCTGAACTGGTGGGACAAACTTGTGATTTGTAGGGTGGCTCTAACTCAGTCTGGGTGGTAGAAATAGTGTAATTGCCCTTCATTGCTATTTCCCTTTTTATCACTGCTCTTTACTTATTACTCATTTTTACAAGTAAATCACATCATATTTTTCTGTGGATATAGCAGTCTTTAAAATCCAATTAGATGACCCCCTTTGGGTCACTTGTTCCTCTGATGCTCTGTAGAGGAATATTGGCAAGTTGACTTCTCTTCCTCAGTAGGTTTTGAGTTGAAATTTTAATGTGGAACCAACAAGTTGCCTGGTCCAAGCTTCTTACTTTATGAATAAATGAAGAGATTTAGGACCAGAGAAATAAACTGGATTTCCAAGAGAACCCAGCTGGCTGATGGCAGGGGAAGGTTGTGACATCTGCTCATACTCTTTTTCCATCCTGCTGCTTATTTACCCCTTCTCACTTATACTGAGGGCGTCTTTCTCAACTCTGATCTGAAAAGTCTTTGCTTCTCGTTTCCTTTATGGGAATGTTGTAATTTTAAGATGGGTAAACATTGAGATTGTTAGGCAAACTTCTTTTTTTTTTTTTTTTGAGAGTTGCTAAAATAACAAAATACCATTGGATGATTTGATTAATAGAGGCAAGAATAAGAAATTTAGTTATTAGAATGTGTCTTTGGAATATTATTTTGAGAAAGATGGTGCTAAACCAAATAAGCCTTGGTGAGTCAATACATTTCCAACTTATTTTTTAACCTTTAGTAGTAACCAGGCTGAATGTGATTCCTTTTAATGAACTAGCACTTAAAATTTGTGAAGTGTTATTTTGACTATATGCTTTTGTTTCAGACAGAACCAGGTTGTATTATTAGACACACTGGAACAAGAGATTTCAAAATTTAAAGAATGTCATTCTATGTTGGACATTAATGCTTTGGTAAGTATGATTTAGTTGATATTACTTAATGGCATCTTGTTTCAGAAACAGCTAGGTTTATCCTTCCAACTATGTTTAAGATTTTTTGCTTTAATTTTTAAAAATTTAAATTTTTTTAAACAAGAAACATTTATTTACTTTACTAGAATTTCCATTGTCCTGAATTGCTATCTTTCAAATGTTGAGCTTGTAATAGGAAATTGAACTTATATTTGAGTCTAGAATAGATCTGTTTATAGTTAAAGTCTTAGAAAAATGGGGCCGGCACTGTGGTGTAGCAGGTAAAGCCACCGCCTGCAGTGCCAGCATCCTTTATGGGCACCGGTTCGAGTCCCGGCCGCTCCACTTGCAATCCAGCTCTCTGCTGTGGCCTGGGAAAGCAGTAGAGGATGGCCCAGGTCCTTGGGCCCCTGCACTGGTGTGGGAGACCTGGAAGAAGCTCCTGGCTCCTGGCTTTGGATTGGCGCAGCTCTGGCTGTTGTGGCCAATTGGAGAGTGAACCAGTGGATGGAAGACCTCTCTCTCTCTCTCTCTCTCTCTCTCTCTCTCTGCCTCTCCTTCTCTCTCTCTGCAACTCTGACTTTCAAGTAAATAAATAAATCTTTTAAAAAAAGACTTGGAAAAGAGAACTAAAAGTAAAGAACTTTTGGAATATCAATCTTCTCCTAATGGAAAGTGCCATCTTTCATTAACTGTCAGTTACATGGTTTCTTAAATTAGAATTTTATTAATTATGTGGCATATTCATAGTGCCACAATTTTAAATTAATGCTATGGATTAAAATAGACACTTGGAGAATGATCAGTTATATCTTACAGTAGAAGTAGTTGAAGCCAACGCCGCGGCTCACTAGGCTAATCCTCCGCCTTGCGGTGCCAGCACACTGGGTTCTAGACCCGGTCGGGGCGCTGGATTCTGTCCCAGTTGCCCCTCTTCCAGGCCAGCTCTCTGCTGTGGCCCGGGAAGGCAGTGGAGGATGGCCCAAGTTCTTGGGCCCTGCACCCCATGGGAGACCAGGATAAGCACCTGGCTCCTGCCATCGGATCAGCGTGGTGTGCCAGCTGCAGTGTGCCGGCCGCGGCGGCCATTGGAGGGTGAACCAATGGCAAAGGAAGACCTTTCTCTCTCTCTCTCTCTCTCTCACTGTCCACTCTGCCTGTCAAAAAAAAAAAAAAAAAAAAAGTAGTTGAATAATTGAATTTCATCAAAAGCTCTGTAGTATTTTGATGATGAGAGGAATTGGTACTTTAAGAAAAACAAGGAATTTTTTGCTATATTTATTTTTCCCTTAAACATTAGAAATCCTTGGTGGCATGATTTTGTAGATGTTTATACATACTTCAGCAACAGAACTTTTCATTGGACAAAGGTGGCTCACTGATGTTCTCCTTTTACTATAATCAAGAAACAAAGGCCATATTCTCTAGCATTAGACAGAAGCTTGTGGTAGTGAGTACAAAGTCTTCTGCCCAGTAGTTCCTGACTGGTTGTGAAAGGTGGGCCAGGCTATACTGACCTACTTTTGTGTTCACTGCTGAAATTGTGTTGCAGTAGAATGAATATTTGTTTAATGAATGAATGAACCAAGCAGGTGTATCACTGTTACTTCAGTCTGAAGGAGCAGAAACGGACTCTTCCTCTTTTTTCTTCTCACAGTCCAAAAGTAGTTTTGATCATCATCTAGGAACAGAAGACTGGAAGGGCCAGAGAGATTCAGAGAGGGTCTGGGAGCTCCAGAGCTCATCAGACTCTGACTTGACTTGTAGCCATTCTGAGCTTGCAAAGCTCTCCACTGACACTTCTCTGATTTCTTCTCTTTCTGTTAACTTTGAGGATAAGGTGCTTTTTAATACTTCTCTCTCATGTACTTAGGCCAGCAGCATCTTCGCAACTTCACTTTGGCTGTGCAGGCTGGCTGAGATACAGGAGTCTGTACCTACAACTCCTTGAGAAGCAGAGTATCTTACAGAGATTATTCTGCTTGGTCTGACTTCATAAGTCCAAGGAACTTGACTAACTGTGTCTGCAGTGCTCACAGGGATCTCTGGGTGGAGCCTGGGTTTTCCTGATGAGCACACACTTCCCTTGAACTGTCCTGGCCCGGTCTCTCTCTTGTAAAGGCAGTAGAGTGTGTTACTTTTCTTAACTGAAACTGACAGCTTTAGTCAATAGTCTTACTGAAATTTTGGGAATATGTTGGATGTTTTTAAAGCAAAATGTTGTCTGCCGCCAATTGAATGTAAATGTTTATTTTGTGTTTAGAAATTTTTTGTTCATCTGAATTGAATCAAATGCTTTCAAAATTCTGATAGTTTAAATGAAATGTAGATTTCAGAATTTAAAATATGGCAATAAGGCTCTAAAAACTTCACTGATTTAGGAAGAATGAACTACAGTTTAGGCATTGGCTTATTTATCCATGTTGATATTTCAGCCTGTTTTAACTCGACTCTTCATCTGCTTTCCATGTTAAGTTCACTGAAGCTAAACACTATCATGCCAAGTTGGTGAATATAAGAAAAGAGATGCTGATGCTTCATGAAAAGACATCAAAGTTAAAAGTGAGTTGAAAATTCTTTCACATTCTTTATAAAAGTAGAGGTTTAATTATTTTTCTTTACTATTTTTTTTTACTTTTTATACAGTAACATTTCGACTTTTTTCTTTAAAAAGAAAACAGCATTTTTTGAACCCTGCTTTGAGTTTATCTACTAATAGCTGGGCTGATAGGCTTACCTTTTCTGGATTTGTAACTTTAATTCTCTTTTTATAAGAACTTAGAGTCACAAATTTTATTTGAGTCAAGGGAATGTTTGAACAGATGAAAAAGTTAAAAAACACATTTATGAATATACATTGATTACCTCACCTATAAATCTTTATTATTCTCTTGGTTTTTAATTTTTTTTGACACAGAAAAGAGCACTGAAACTGCAGCAGAAGAGGCAAAAAGAAGAGTTGGAAAGGGAGCAGCAGCGGGAGAAGGAATTTGAGAGAGAGAAGCAGTTAACTGCCAGACCAGCCAAGAGGACGTGAAGAGTGGTGTTTGTGTGTTTTCTTCGCCTGTCCCTTATTCTTTAGATGTAAGATGAGCAGAGTGTAGAGTCACAAGGTAGTGCCTTAAACCATTGTGTTATTTTGAAATCCTTATCCCAGGATTGCTGTCTTCATATGTCCGTTTCATCCATTCAAGAAGCATTTCTCTTTAGGTAGTAGATGTAATGTCACTGTTTTGATCTTTTCAACTTTTGTTTTACTTCATTTTAAAGTTTGTTATTTTTGCCTTCAGTCATTTGAAAACTGGGAAAAAAATGGTTTGATGTCAGAGTCTAGACTCTAAATTGTTAAAAATTTAGTATGAATTTTTTTAGCTTCTTGAATGCAGATTTTTTTCTTTGACTTTTGCTTGTTTTTTTTTTTTTTGTTTTGTTTTGTTTTGTTTTGTTTTTTGTTTTTTGAGTGCAGGTTTCAACATTTCCATTTCTTATTTTATGACCTGATTTGCCTTTCTGGCAGGACAACATTAATTTTTGGTAATTGCCTTTACTTTGCTTAGTTAAGAGAACATAACAGTTGTTTAATTGCGTACGCCCCTGGAAAAGATGTGGTGTAAAGTTTTGAGAACAACAGAATGCAAAAGTGTGTGCACAGGAAATGACAGCATCTTATACGAGGAAGGGGAGCAGCGAGATGCCAGAGGGATTCCACTAACCACATGCTCTGTGCCGTTTAGTGTTGAGCTTACATAGCTTTTGTGTTCCAGGTAGACTATATGTGTTAAGTTTGGCAAGGATGGTGGAGCTATCACACACTCACATGTGCTTATGTGTTCACAGTGTTAGTAACAGTCATAATACACTGAAAGAGTTTCTTGTTTCAAAAAAATTCTTAAGATAGAATCATATGTACCAACAGCCACTTTATAGATAATAACAGGAATGGTAGGAAATTAGTAAATTACTTCTCAAAAGCAGCAGCAGTTTTAGTGTTTTCTAGAATATTTCTTGGGTATCATATTTGGAAATTCATATGAGGGAAATATGTTTTATTGCTTAAAACTGAGAGTGTATTATTCACAGTTTTAGTGTTATTTAAAATTCACCTGGTTTCCTATCTGTATTGAAAGTGCGTGATTGGAATGCATATCATCTGTAACCCACATTACATTTTGGTGAGCTGGAATCACTACCTCTGATCATATACCAATCAAGCTAATAATGGGGAAAGCTTTAGATTTCAATTCAGTTGCTAAGAACTGATTTGTTTAAAGGCTTAGCTAATTTGTTTGAAAGAGCCTTTCCCTTCTTTAATGAATGAATTATGGTCTCACAATTCACTTGACTTTAACCTTATACTGAATATAAATATATTCGAAAAAGCTAAGTGTTGCCTCAAACACTTGTTACAGCTGCCTGGGGAAGGACTCACTAGAGCTTGCAGGACAATGTCATCTACACTGCTGAATGTACTCCTTTCTAATGTGATATCTAACAGACTATGCATTGCTTCTCAGAGTGGGTTTGGAGCAGCTGTATTGTTTGTGTAACATTCTCATTCCTGGACACCACTCTCAATCTGCTGAAGCAAATCAATGTTAATGCCTCCTGCCCCTCTGACCCCCTGCCATGATTCTGATGCATCTTAAAAATGAGAATCACCAGCATAGTAGTTAAGGTTAGGGTTTCCCACACTGGGCTGTGCCATGTCACTGTCACCTTGGAAGTTTTGAAAAATACATTCTGGATTCTTATACTTTAGTTCTGATGTGGAGCCTGTGTATACATTAAGGAGCTCCCCAGATGATTCTCACGTAAGGACCCACTGGTGTAGACTATAGTGTTTTATATTTGTAAGTGGTGAGAGAGTTTAAAAGCTATCCAGTAACTCTTGGATTAATCTTATGAAATACTGCTCTGCTGCTTTTGATACAATGTCAGATTTAGGACTGAACTTTAGCAGGCAGGAAATAAATATAGAAGTCTGGCTCATTAATTGAACTTTTGTAACCTATGTTAAAATAAATCATGTTTATTGAATGAAAGGTGAGGCACATCTACTTTCAGAATTGTATTATTTAAGTGTTTAAGACTTTTAAAATGTCAAGATGAATATATGTTAGCATTCACTACTTTAAGGTCAGTTGTAAATCATAAGTACTGTTATCTTGGTAACTAAAATATAAAACATAGCTGTATTTCAGTAACACAGAGGCATATCCTGCAGCTATATTGGAATGGAACCCATTAGTTAGTCTTGCTGTGTTTTTGCATGGGAGGCTTCTGTTTCCTGGTTGAAAAAAAATCACTGTCTTGAAACTGTATCAGCATGTACTGAACTGAAATGATGGGAATCCACTTTGTATTTTCTCTGCAGTAAGTATCATGTAAATAGACACTGAATGTAATATAGATTGTGTCCACAGTGAGTTTTTGAGTGGATACAGTTTATAAATATATCAATTATATACCTTCATCTGTTTGTCTGATTTTAAACTTGTAAAATGGGAACTACTTTTTATGCGTTTAATTAAAAAGACCTCTTAATTATCTGGTATGTTTGTGAAGCACCATTCTGTGTATAGCTTGTAAATTTCCCTTTGTGTTCATTATTTCAAACATTCTACTTTTTGTCCTTTCCTGTCTTCTTCCTTTTATAGCATTCTCTATATATTGTGTCACCGATGCCAGTCCACTTGTGAAACCCCTTTCAGAAAGGTGGTAGGAAGTGTTGTGAAAAGCTTCACTGAAATACCTTTATAAAATCCTTCACCGTATTTTTTTCAGATTAAAAATAATAGTTACTTCTTTTAGTGATTTGGTAGAAAATACTTCAGCAGGATACCTGAATGTATAACCAATTAAATAATGAAAATTTCCAAGTAATAGAATACTTTAGATCAGATTTTAGAAGTTTTTTAATCTGGGGATTTATTGGACCCCTTGGACTTCTGTGGATGGCCTTTGGAGGGACATAAACTCTAGTAAATTTCTCACAGAATTTCTTGTCTCTGTATAAGGTTATTTCAAAAAGCTCATAGGAAAATGGAATTAAAAGGTTATTTTAGTGCAAAAAAAAATTGAATTAGATGAAGATCCCTCATAGGCTTGGATTTTGGTGGTTTTTTTTGGCACTAAAGTAAATTTAGCTTTTAATTCCATTTTCCATGACCTTTCCCCCCAGCATCGCATGTATAGATTTCATGAGATTGATATGTGTATTTCTCACCAAAGCAGTGTGGTTTTCATAGTCTCCTTTACTTCACTGTGCACATATTAAAAAATATGACTTAGTTTTTAGATTTTTTTTGAATGAAGATAGTTCCTATACTATATTTTAAAATTGAACAGATATTTAAGATTTATTGCTAGCCTATTCATACTTTGTTTAGTTTTGTTTGTTTGTATCAGGCCACATACCATCTGGTCTCCAAGTTAGTACTGGGGTAAGACCAAGTTTATCTTTTAAGCCAACCAGAGGGGCTGACACTGCTGAGTAGCAGGTAAAGCCACTGCTTGTTATGCCTGAATCCCTTATGGGCACCAGTTTGAGTCCTAGCTGCTCCATTTCTGATCCATCTCCCTGCTAATATGCCTGGGAAAGCAGTGGAGGATGACCCAAGTGCTTGGGCCCCTGTACCCAGCTGGGAGACAGGGAAGAAAGAAGCCCCTGGCTCTTGGCTTCAGACCAGTTCATCTCAGGCCATTGCAACCACTTAGGGAGTGAACCGACAGATGGAAGATCTCTCTGTTTCTCTATAACTCTGCCTTTCAAATAAATAAATAAATAAATAATCTTTTTTAAAAAGCCAGTACGAATGTGAAGTGAGTAGTTAAGGGATATATTTGTAATGATTCATTTAAAAAGCGCTTAAACATTTGGAAGGAAATGTCAGTCAAAGAGAAGATGGGTAAAAGAGTGGAGTGAGGGTGGGAATTGGGAATGAAAGGGAAGGACAAGATGATCTGATCTTGATGTAGGCTTACAGGCATGAAAGAATAATGAACAGCCCACCTATTTTAGAACGAACATCCTAAAAGATTGTCCCCTACTGTCACTTGGTAAACTGAAGAAGAGGTGGTAACTGTGCACTCTGGTTCAGATTTTAAATCCATTCCTGATGTAGTCCTGGTTGTCTGCGGTGTGCAAAACTGGATAAAGATGAGGCAGAAAATCACTGGGTATGTATGGATGCTGTCTGTTTTCAGGCTTGCCTTTTATCAGTCCATTAGAAAATAGTAGTTAAAATGCAAGAGAATTTGAAGAAAAGCAGGTCTATAGACACTTAAGATCCTGGCCTCCACTTTGAGCATGAAAATTCAAATTTAAAAACATTCAAGGTCTTAGTAACACAGTAGTTAAGATTGTGGACTCTGAAGTCAGATTTCCTTGGTTCATATTCCTACTTGGTTTAGGGCTTTGAACAAATTGCTTAAACTGTGTACTGGGGCCAGTGCTGTTGTGTAGTGGGTAAAGCTGCTGCCACCTGCAGTGCCAGCGTCCCATATGGGTGCTGGTTTGAGTCCCGGCTGCTCTACTTCTGATCCAGCTCTCTGCTATGGCCTGGGAAAGCAGTAAAGGATGGCTGTAGTCCATGGGCCTCTGTACCCACTTGGGAGACCCGGAAGAAGCTCCTGACTCCTGGCTTCGGATGGGCCCAGCTCCAGCTGTTGCAGCCATTCGGGTAGTTAAGCAGCAGATGCAAACCTTTCTCTCTCTCTCTCCCTCTCCCTCTCCCCTGCCTCTCAGTAACTCTGCCTTTCAAATAAAGAAATAATTCTTAAAACTGTGTACCTCAGTGTCCAAAACTGTAAAATTGGGATAATAAGAATTTCTAGCTTCATAAGGTTGTGAGGTTTCATGGTATCTACATAAAAGCTCTTTAAATAAAGATTGTAAGAGTTCAAATGATGTTTCTTAGTACCTTGAAGTCACAGTTGCGTGGGAGGGTACTTATTTTGCTCCTGTTGCACCTCTAGTTTTGCTCATATGATTTCCACTGCCTAGAATCTTTCATCCTATAATGTCTGCCTGTTGGATGCCTATCTATTTTTTGTAACCCAGATGTCTCCATTTTATGGCTTTTCTCACTGCCTCCCAAAGAATTTCTTTTTCTGTGTTGCCAAAATATTTTCATGATACATTTTCCTTAGCACTTAGAATATTAGCTATGTCTTTATGCTTCTCAGGAACAAAGGAATTTCTTTTAAAAAATGATTTAAGAGGCAGAAAGAGGGTAGACGCCCATCTGCTATTTCACTCCTCAAGTACACCCCCCACCACACACATACATAGGCACACATACACAAAATGCACCCCCACCCCCAAATCCCATCTGCTGGTTCATTCCCTAAATGCCCACAACAGCCAGAGCTGGGCCAGTCTGAAGCTGGAAACTGGGAACTCAATTCAGGTCTCCCCACATGGATGGCAGGAATCTGACTCCTTGAGCCATCACCTGGTGTCACCTTGGGTGCACACTGGTACATAAGCAAGAGGCTAGAAACAGAAGCTAGGACTTGAACCCAGCACAGACATCCCAAGCAGCAGCATTTTTTTCTTTTAAAAAGATTTACTTATTTGAATGGCAGAGTTACAGAAGGGGCGGGGGGAGAGAAAGAGAGAGTCTTCCATCTGCTGGTTCACTCCCCAAATGGCTGCAACGCTGGGGCTGGGCTGATCTGAAGCCAGGAGCCTGGAGCTTTTTCCGGGTCTCCCACGTGGATGCAGGGGCCCAAGGCCTTGGGCCATCTTCCACTGCTTTCCCAGGCCATGGCAGAGAGCTGGATTGGAAGAGGAACAGCTGGGACTAGAACCATATGGGATGCTGGTGCTGCAGGCAAAGGCTTTACGCATTTCGACAGTGCTAACCCCAAGTGGCATCTTAACAGCCAGGCCAGTCCCCCCACTCCCTCACCAAAGGTATTCTTTGATCATTTTTTTCCGTAGTGCAGTGCCTGGCCTATAGTTGGTGTGTTAGTGGAGGTTCTCCAGAGGGAGGGAGAGAAGAGACAGTTGGATTTGAAGGAACTGGGTTACAAGATTGTGGGGGCTGGTAAATCTGAAATTGACAGGAGAGGCAGGTAGGCTGGAGATGCAGGAAATTGTTGATGTTGCAATTCAAGTCCAAAGTCATTGTAGAGACAGAATTCCCTCTTCTTCTGGACCTCAGTTTTTTCCTCTTAAGTCCTTTCAGCTGGTTGGATGAGCCCCTTCTACCCTCTACATTATATGGAAGAAAATCTGCTTCATGTAAAATGTTGATTTAAGTTGTAATTCATTAAAAATATATCTTCACAGCAAAATCTATACTGATGTTTGACCAAGTATCTGGGTATCATGGCCTAACCAAGCTTTCATGTAAAATTAATCATCACAGTTGGTTTTTGGTATATTTTGGGGAGTTTAATTCAGTCTGGTAGGGGGCAGGCATACATATGCATTGTTTTTTCATTTCATTTCCGTGAACTTGTATCTTAAAAATAATATATAATATAATGTAGTATATTATATTTATATAATATATTTATTATATGTAAATTATATAATTTATAAAAAAATATATAATGAATATATTTATAAATAATATAATAATATAATTAAGAACTGATTACATACATGCCAATAAGGAATATTACAATAAAAATTAAATTCATGCATTTCAGATGTGGCTAGGGAGCTTGTAATCCTTGAATAATCCACATCATTATTTCTATGCCTAATTATGTATTTAATTACACTAAAAAATAACAGGTCCCAAGGTCTTTGAAATCAGATGAACTCAGTTCATGCGTGAATGGACTGGTAAGTAGAAACACTGAGGCCACATCTGTCAACTAGAGGCTGCTCAGGTCTCTTAGAAATAATCCCAAGGAAGAAATGGGCAGTTTGAGAGCCTGCCTAATGGAGACCTTCCAGCACCGGATAAACCAGAGTGATTGTGCTGCCATCTTGTGGTGCTCTTTGCTCCCTGTGGTCTACAAATTGGTTTGGCTTCTCCCTTGTGAGCTCTTGACAGCTTCTGTCTGAAACATTTGATAGGATTTGAAGCTACGTTATTCTAACCTCTTGAATCTTTAGTTTGATATTGAGCTTTGAGTGTTCTGGGTGGCAGGACTGGGCCAGGGTACAGTTGGGATCTGTGAATGGAATCCAAGTCTCCCTTGTGGGTGGCAGGAGCCTCATTACTTGAGCTATCAATGCTGCTTCCCCAAGCTGGAGTTTGGAGCCAGAACTGGGTATCAAAACCCAGGCACTCTGATAAGGACATGAAGATTTTAAGCAGTGTCTTAAATGCTAGGCTAAATGCCTTCCTCCTGAGCAATTTGTATGGGGCTCTGTGAGAATGGATACTGGACTTTTCTTTAGTTCCTATGGGATTTGACTCTTGGGCTTCTATTCCTGTTTTCTGCACTTCCATAGATATTTTTTCAATGTCATCTCTTGCCCTCTGCCTCTCTATTTATGAGATAACCTCACCCAATCCCTATTTATTGCAACTGTCAGCATTAAACCTTGTCATTATCTTTGAGGTTTCTCTAGCATGTGTTGTTT